TTCTTTTTCATTGAAGGTGTGCTGATGGGTACTTTGGGAACCCGTTCGAGCAAGGAAAAGAATGCAAACCCTGCAATTGCAACGGGAATGTGGATACATCCCGACCAGGTTATTGCAATCACGTCACTGGTCAGTGTATCTTCTGCTTGTACAACACTGGCGGTCATTATTGTCACGTTTGCGCGGATGGATTTTATGGGGACGCTTTGAAAAGGTCGTGCAAAAGTAAGTTGTTGATTATAAATTGATGAATTTATTCTGCTGGACGATATTTCGGAAATTATGTCTGGATGTAATTTTTTTCAGAATGCGGATGCAGCGAATACGGATCAGAGGCGAATGTGTGTGATCTGAAAACTGGACAGTGCAGGTGTAAACCAGGTTACACAGGCAAAACTTGTGAAATGTGTGCAGTAAGTTGCTCCTACATTTGAAAATGTTGGGGAATATTTATGCTTAATTCTGGTTTCTTTGATATACTTTGTTCATTGTTCTGTCTTCTCATCCCTTTTTAATTTCTCCTTTCAGAAAAAAACTCATCCTAATGAAATAATCTAATCCAATGACATCTGGTACTTTCCTGTTATCTCAGTACCCATTTTTCTTTGTCTTGTGAATTCAGTATGGGTTAGGTTAGGTCATGTTATTTGAAAGATATTTGCAACTAACATAACCTGACCTAACCTAACTTTACCCAACTGCCTCCCAAAATCAGTTTCAGCAGAATGTGGGAAAATAAGATTCACAGTTTCTGGTAAGTGCACAGAAAGTAGGTACTGAGATAACAGGAAAGTACCCAAAATCTTGCATCAATGCTCACATTGTTGAGTTTAAAGACCCAGATAATGCTACCATGTTTATTTATTTGGGTTCAAAAATTACCTCCAAAAGCAGATTAAATGGTTCATAATAGAAATCTATGGCAAATAGTGTTCTGTGTGAAACAAGGCTACCCAAAATACAGCCAGCAGGCCAGATCTGGCTCACGAAAACTCTTCATCCATCCTGCAGTCCCTTTCCTATAATTTTCAAGGTGCTGGCTACCACTGTTCAAAATTTAAGATTGAAAGCTGAATAAAAATTTCAAAACTTTGCTCCACCCTTTCAAAAATTCCATGAGGCTGTGCTTGTGATTCAATACATTGCACTGAAACTTTTCCCTTAAATTGGGGAACATCTGGAGCTTCAAACATTGTATATTTTGGCCAGCAAGGACTCTGCCTCTACAACGTGGCACTTGGCCACATCTGACTTGGGCAGAACTGGCTTAAAGGCTGGTCCTCTTTAAATCTGCCTCGCCCTCCTCTGGAGTGGATTTAAAATGAGAATAAGGGCACTTGGTGTAGTCTTTTCTTAAAATTATGTAGAGATGGTGTAAAATTTGAGAGGAATATTAATGATTATTTTGGAAATCTCAATGAAATCCAGCAGAATGTAAGTCAAGCAAATCAAATTCTGCATGAATAATGTATTATAAAATGTTATTTTGCTACATTACCTGTGCACAAATTTGGATTTAAAGTGTAGAACTAAGTGCTTTACCTCATCGTCAACCGGTTTCAGGCGCATTTGCTAAGTTTATATCATCTTAAGATAATCTTACTTCAATAAAGGATATGAAGTACTGTATTCTATATAGTACTTGGGAATGAGTGAAATTGAGTGGAACCTTGGGTGGGGGATAGTTTTGAAATAAAATAAATGTACTTTATATCAATCCTATTATCACAACAGGAAAGAGATTGAGTAGACCAGAGACGCGTTTAATCTCGTTTCTTATTCGGTCGTTATTTGCGGTGCTTGAAATTTTTCTTCACCAGCAAGGGTTGACGAAATTATTAGTGAAACTTTGTCATATCTTCTCTCCCGAATAGAACCAGCTTGGTCATCCCTTGGCAGCCTGCAGAGTGTGTAATTGCAATCCTCAAGGTTCCACGACGAGTCTCTGCGACGCCTTTTCAGGTGAATGCAAATGCAAAGAAGGGGTCACTGGTCTCACGTGTGACTCTTGCATGCGGGATTTCTACGGATTCGGCAGCGAAGGATGCATCAGTAGGTTTATTTTTTGATTTTTGCTTTTGGTTTCGAAATGTGCGATTTTCTTGACTTGATTTTTTTATGTGATTGTGTTACGCCGTCATCTTTGTACAGAATGCAGCTGTAATCAATACGGTTCCCAGGGAACCTCTTGTGATGAAATCACTGGACACTGCAACTGTTTCCCGAATGTTGGTGGACGAGCCTGTGACAGATGCGAGGTTTGCTTTTTTTTTCTTTATTATAGGCAAGATTAGACAAAAGCTCAGGTTGATGAAACCCAAGAAAAGAATGCATGATGAAGGCACAGTGGAAAAAATAAAGCACAGCTAGTTTGTGGCCCAGAATATGTTTTCAAAGAGACATGTTGATTCAATGTTCCCAATTTTTCACATTGATTTCTTGTAATTTGATGGCTAAGAAATGACACAATTCATTGGGAACATTGAAATCATCGCACATATATATAAAATCAAAATTGTGCACAAATCCAAATGCAAACGCAGTTATAAAATGAGTAAATATAATGAAGCAATATAAAATTGAGTTGACATTCTTCACAATCAAGGTTGTGTGTAGACTGCCTTTAAAAAAAATGAATTTGGTAGAGGAGGAATACCTTCACAGGGATCTTCTCAGTGCAAAAAACAAATGAAAGACATGCAGGAAAGTGTGATTGGTGATTTTTCTGGGCCTTCCAATTGCTTCTTGAATGAGTTAACAGGATGCTGAAGTTGAAAGAGAGGGTTAATTTTCCCAAGAATTCTTTCACTTCTTTTCAAAACACATACAGTTACATTTATTTCTTTCCTGTGTCTAGATTCTAGAAAGTAATAATCAAAATTCCTCCAAAAAATTCGACTCATAGAAGTGTGAGGGGAAAACCTTCAAGTGAGGGAGGCTTTTAATTCATTTCCTCAAACGAAATTCAGACCGTGACTTGAAATAATTCGAAATTGGTAGGCATTAAACTTTTTTTAATTCTCAGGTTGTAACTGTGTATGTGAGGAGGTTAAATTTCTTTCCTGAAGGAAAAATGTCTCATTTCGAAGAGCCAATATCTAAAGTTCAAGACTAGATCCCTATGAATTATTCACACACTAAAAGTTGAACTTTGGAGTAGATAGCGCCAATATGAGTCATGTTTTATTTATTAAAAAATTTAGAGAGGTTTTTGGAACCTGAAATCTGGAAAGGGCTGCGAACCCTGTGACTGCATTCTAAGTGGAACAGAAGGAGGAACCTGTGACCAGAAAACCGGAGCATGTGTTTGCAAAGAAGGCATTGGTGGTCCTCGTTGCGACAGATGTTTACCGGGATACTACGGATATTCTTCAAATGGATGCAAAAGTGAGTGTTTGAAGATCCTTTTCCCTTATAATCATACTCGAAATTCACCCTTTTTCGTTTGAAAATAAACAAAATTCTTGAATGATCCACGCCCAGAGATGAAAGGCACAGGTTCAGAATATTACCACTACGATACCCATGAGTACCAAAGCTATCAACCTTATTATCATCCTTTTTATTTCTACGGTGAGTGTTGGAAGACTGCCGCAAACCTTTTTTTTTTTTTGCGCATTTGTTCATTCCTGTAGACTTTTGTGTGCACTTGAGTTGAAAAATGGGCTTTGAAATCGTTTGTCTGTCACACTTGTATTGCTTTTAAATGAGGGCCTCCCAACTTTTGCGGATGCTGCTTTTTTATTTTTTGGTGCCTTTGATGCACTTTTTGCGATACGTTGGACTGCTTGGCTTTTTTTTTTTTTACAAGTCTGCCTTGATTTTTTCGTGTGCCGCCTTTCGACTTCGTGATTTGTCTCCATCGCTTGGTTTGAATTTTTTTTGTGATTTATTTTTAATGATTTGAGATATTGATTATTTGTTATTGAATGGTTTTTCCTTCAGAATGCGACTCGTGCTTGTCAAGATTCCATTTGTGCGACCCGGACACCGGGAAATGTGTTTGTCCTCGGTTCACGGAAGGTGTTCGGTGTGAAAGATGCAAACCAGGGAATTATAATTTGAATCCCCAGCTTGGCTGCACGGTGAGCTTATTTTTTTCGCTCGTTTTTTTTTTTAGCACGATCGTTACGAAGAGTTTTTAAATGTTGGATATGGCCTGCTGAGCACATCTGTCGAATTGCGACGTTGACCCGAGTTCTCTCATCAGGACAGGAGATTCATGATTTTATTTGTAACCTTTTTTGTTTTGTTTCATGCAGCCGTGTCAGTGTTCAGGAGCGGGTGCCATCAAGCACAGGTGCAATCCGTTGAACGGGCACTGCGAATGTGTACCCGGGTTCAGTGGTCGGAATTGCGACCAGTGCGAATTCGGCTACTACGGGTACCCCAACTGCCGCCCATGCGATTGTAATGCAGACGGAACGAAACCCGAGTCCTGTAGAGCCGGAATTTGCGACTGCGACAAAGAAACTGGTTATTGTCCTTGCAAGGTAACGTTGTTTATTGTTCTAAAAGAAAACGATTTTCTTGAAGTTGCATGAGGAAATTTTATGAGACATGAAATGTGGAAAATCGAGTCCAAGGGAACTCATGTATGAATTTCACGTTTGAATTTCGAATTTCAGGCGAATGCGGATGGCAAGCAGTGTTGTGATTGTCGGAGAGGAAGTTTCTCGATGAACGCAAACAATCCTCTGGGGTGCATTCCGTGTTTCTGCTTCGACAAGGCTCAAGAATGCCAACAAGCCCCCTTCACGTGGTCGTCCATCACCGTAATACACCACAAAATTTGAGAAGAACCCGGAATCACCTCGATATCAAATAATTAATAAAAAAATATTTCTTTTTAGTCAAAGTCGTTCGATGTCCGCAAAATTGATCTCCAAGGCGGAGAAGGTCTCGTGAAGCTCAACTCGACAAATGGATTGAGGATCGTTCCGAGCTCGTCACCAGACCTGAGTATCGGCGGGAACCAAGTCAAAGACGAGCCTGTATATTGGAAACTTCCTGGAGAATTTCTTGGCGACAAGGTACGATCTATATATTTATTCCCATTAAATTGATAAAAAAAAGTTGAATGCTTTTTTTCTATCTCAAATCCTTGAAGGTCCTATCCTACAACGGCTTCCTGAAGTTTAGAAAAACTGTCGAGTCCCCAGGAAGAACGTATCATGAGAATATCCTCAGAAGGAAGCCGTTGGTGCATTTGCAAGGAAATTGGAAGCTGAAGTTGGAGCATTTTCCTACAACAGCAGAAAGCTTAGCCTTGAAGCATTTTACCATTAGGTTAGTCTTGCTTTTCCTGTTGTGTATACTCCAAGGTACGTTTTCATGTTATCCATTTCCTTTGAATGTGGAATTGTACCAGAGTGGGGAAATTGGTGCATGTATAGTTTTATGTAGGTGAGAAGTTTTTGTCAATCCGCACACCCTGAAGACAGGAGTGGAATTTATACAAGGCTAGAATGGTTCATGCAAGTAATTAGAAAATTGATTATGACAGTCGGAAGAAATCAAGAATAGTAAAAAACAGCAATTGGTCAGTGTGCAAACCAACCAGGAATTCCCTCCCAAAACGCTCAGTGCACACTTTGGCTACACTTTTAATAATTGCACAGAAGTCACTGCTATGCAGTTGACGTGCAAAAAAGTTTTTTCCTTCACACATGTGCATCCAAAGTTTGCACCAGCTGTAGGTTTACACTTGGGATTCTGCTGTAACCCTGCAATATGTACACTAAATGTGCATCAAATTTACGCAAGCAGTACCACATTTGCCTGAGTACCATGCGCACCTTCTTCTTGGATTTGAGAGAGTTATTTTATTAGTTGACCAATTGTTTCAAATGGTGGAATGAGCTGCTTTCCCACTTCAGACAAATCTTCAGCATTTCTAAAGTCTTCAACTTCATTATTAACTTGTAAAAATTAAATGAAAAAAACATTTGCAGAGGAAATATATTTTTTCTTTATTACCAGGGCTTGGTGAGTGAGTACCAGACACTTCTTTCAAAATACAAGCTGTTGACTTTATTTTTCTGCAAAACTGTTTAAAAGATATTTCAGACTGTCAATGAGTACGGAAAGAGTGGTTGGACACCTTTTTCAACAATTTGGATGCATTTAGACAGTGACTGACCTGCCTGTAGACAAAAAAGTAAAGAAGGACGGTTGAGATGTTAAATAACCCAGCAGGACAGAATGTTGCTGCGTGAAGCTATAAAAAAGTACAAAGGTGTATTGCAAGTGGTCTTTTGAACATGATCAAGGACATAAGCAGATGAACTGTGTGACAAGATGAGAAAAAAAGCGGGTGCATGTATAAAGAAAATACTGTAGGCTGGGATGAACTAAAATATTTTTTTTAGAAGTTTGAATTTATCCAGTGAAGGGAAACTTCTCAAATTACCTTTTCCATTAAATCTATCCCACTGAAAAAGGATTGAATTCAGATTGGATTCATGTTCAAATTGGAATTCTGTCATTTTATTCTTGAAATATTTTTTGGTTTTTCAGTCACTAAAAATGGGGTACATGTCTAAGTCAAAGGTATAGGATTTTGTCAAAGATATATGGAGAAGAATTAGGGTGCCTGTCTTACTAAAGGACACTAGGTACCCAAGTAAATAGGGTACAGTATATACCTATGATATTAACCCTGTGGACTGAACTTAACCCTGGAATGGTAGGAAAATTGTATCTACTCATTGTTACCCCCCTCCCCTTGAGTATCTCATGTACACAATAGTTGTCACCCCCAGTGTAAAACAATAATGTGATTACAGGATAAGAAGCTCCCACCCAACCTGGGTATAGTTGAGTTTATGCTTCTCCTTTGTTATAAGTTGCTTGCTTAATACTTAGCACACATATTTAGAGCCCAGGTGAGTGTTTCAATGCATAGGCGCATCAATACTTGCTCATTGATACGTTCTTTTATGTTATGCTCTTACACTCTTGTGCACTTGGTATTTTGATATTGTACTTGCGTTTTTTTCTCTTTGTTGTATGTGTGAATTTTTGCTTTTGTGAACGCGTGCTCTTTTTGTACTTTCTCTCATTTGTGATACTCGTTTGCTGTACTGTACTATACATTTTTGACTTTTGTGTATTCCTTTTGACAGGCTCAACGAATCAGAGTGGAAAGTGCAGAATAACCCGCAGTTGGAAGTCACCCGGGAAATGATGATGGTTGCCCTACAAAACGTTCAGCACATTTTCATCCGGGTCGCAGACTCTCCATGGTTTCAAAGTGCCAGGTGAACATTTATTCATGAAACCGAAAAATTTCATGAAATCTAATTTTCATTTGAAGACGTTGAACGATTATAGAAGTAAAATATTATTTTTTCGTTGGAAGAGGAAGGATTTTGTATACGAGGTTATTTCGATCACAAAGGCTAATTATTGTTTGAATGCGTTCAGCTCACAAATTTTTTTCAGATGTTTGCTGCATCCAACTGAAGCTTTTTTTGTGAAAAAAAAAATTTGCTTCTTAACATCAAGACTAGATGCGTGCATGAAAAGGCAGCTAAAATGTAGCTTTCATTAAACTCGGTTCTGGTTTTTCAAGTTCTTGGAAACAAAATTAAAAGGTTTGAAAATTAGTAATACTGTATTATGGAATGATTTATTATATAAGATGTTGGAATGTACTTTTTGAGCAATTTTCATCCGAAAGTCCCTTGTTTTTCTGTAGTTCAATTTTGACTTCTGTCAGGTTACTTCAAGTATACTGTTATTGAATTCAGACGTGTCTGTAAGAATTATGTCTGTATTCAAGTATGACATATTGTCATCAGGAATTGCTGTATCTCCATCTAATGATCAATGGAGTTTTTGTCTTGTATATTTTCAAGTCGAAGATTGCATTGACTTATTCGAGCTATTTATCTCTGCAAAATATATAAATACTGTATAGTAATTTCCTAACACGGTTATGAAGTGTGTGTCTATTTACTGCACTGTTGGGATACTCCGTAATTCGAAATTATTTATTTTTGGGAAAAATGAAATTGGAGTAAAGCTTGAACTGCATTCTCCCAATGTTATTGTACAGTAAGACCCTTCTGTTCATAAGAATTGTTGGGCGTGCGTGGAGGAAAAAAATTCGCCACTTTTAGTACATTTCAATATTAATGGTCTTCATTTTTTTAAACAGCGTGAGAGACGTGAAATTGGACACCGCGGTTCCGTCTCTGTTCCCGAGTTCAGTCCCTGAAGCAGGAGGTGTCGAACGATGCGAATGCTCCAAAGAATACAATGGGACCTCTTGTCAAGACCCGTCCAGAGGTTATTATCGTTGGAGGAAACCGGATTTCATCAAGTCAGAAAACATCGTGGATTTCGTGGGCATTTCCAGACCGTGTCAGTGTCACAACCATGCTCAATATTGCGACAAGGAATCTGGGTCCTGTATTGTAAGTTTTCTTTTCATTGAACATTTTTTTTTAATCTGAAGGAGCTCTGTTTTTTTTTATCAAAGCGTGAGAAAATAGCCCCAGCAGTCCTACCAAAAAAGAAATGGAAAAAAGTATGCGAGGCTCATAAATCTGACTGGAAATTTAAGCTAACATGAGAAAGGTCAGATGCACATCCGGTGACCCAAGTAATTTTGCCACCTTCGTCTTCGCGATAGTCATTTAATATTTTAATGAATTAAATTAAGATCAGAGTGAAATTGGTCATAAGCTTATCTTCAATGAATTCGGATGTAAAATGACAAAGTTTTTTTCTTTCTCCTGATCGATCGGTGCTACTACGAATTTGGGATTGAGATCCAATGAAAAATTATGTTGCACAACCAACTTGAATGTCATGACGTTGGCAATTTCTGTAATTCCATTATTCCCACGAGAACCCGTTCGCGAAAATTAGGGTGGTTACATTCCTTGGGTCTCGCCCTTTTTGTTCATTTGCATTTGCAAAACTGCCTTTCAAAGTTTCTTCCAACTCTTTTTTTTGTGGAAAATGAATGAGTGAATATATTTCTGACATTTTTCCATTTGCTGTTTGGTGGGACTGAATGAATGAAGATGTTTCGAAAGAGCAGTTGACGAAATTCTCCGACTCGAAGAATCATACTGAAATATGAGGTTTTTTAAAATTAATTTTTGTAGAATTGCGGAGGAAATACGATGGGAATGCACTGTGACATCTGCAAGCCTGGTTATTACGGAGACCCGAGATTGGGTCCTTGCAAACCTTGTGCTTGTCCGACACTGGAAAGAAACTACGCCTCAACTTGCCATGCCGGATCCTATTCATCTGACTACGTTTGCAATTGTAAACAGGGATATGCTGGGAAACGATGCAACACGTCAGTTGATGTTTTATTTTAAATTTCATTTTCAGCGATGGAAGTTTCGCTTTTTAAGAGCCAGAACTGCTGTATTATATAGTCTTCGGAAATTAGAATAAATCATTACTTGAATTTCAATTCTTTTGTGTTCGTGATAAACATGAATTAAAACTTGGAAAGCCTGGAATAAATGGAGAAATAGATTTGGGTCGAGTTCAAATTCGAAATGATCGATAAAATACCGCGCTTCTTTATTTGAAATTATTGATACCACGTTTACCGAGTTATGCAATAAATGCAGCCTGTGATGGAAGATTAAAATTCATCGCCTGAATTGTGCCAAGGCCTTATATAACCCTGTTACAACGAATTTTTCCACAGGTCGCTGCACGTTTGTTGTGACGAGATTTTCTGTAACGTTTTTTATAATGATAATTCCAATGTCTTTTTTTACAGCTGTGACTACGGGTTTTACGGAGATCCCATGACTGCTGACGGTCAGTGCTTGCCCTGCAATTGCAACCCGTATGGTAGTACGTCTGATATGTGTGACAAAGACACTGGCCAGTGTCCTTGCAAACGAGGCACGTCTGGAAGATCATGTCATATCTGCTCTAGATTCCCACCGATGATCATGACCGAATACGGCTGTCAACGTAAGTTCAACAATCTTATTATGTTTTTCTTTTTAGAAATCCAGTTGCACCTATTCAAGTTGAATTTCAAGAGACCAGCAAGAAAATTTGAGTTGGGTAAACGCATTTTTTGGGGAAGGAGAGAAGAAAATGCGGGAAATTTTAATTGTCAATATTCTGGGTTTTTAATCGCATTTTAAATGAGCTGACAGGATGCTGCACTTGGAGGCAAGGGTTCATTTGTCCAATTTATCTTTCACTTCATTTCAAAACACATCAAGTTACATTTTGATTGGCTTTCTCTTTGGTGTTACGTGGCAAGAGGATACGCCAAAAGCCCTCCAGAAAATTCAAGTTTTGGAGGTTTTATGGGGAAAGCCTTTGAGTTAATCATTGGCTTTTAATGAATGGTTTCCAAAGGAACTCAGATGGCTGACTTTAAAAAATTGGCAAAGGGATTAATTTTCCGAAGTTTGAGTTATGAAAGTTCATTTCATCCAATTTTCAAAAGTGTCTAAGTGGTGTAACACTGCAGCATAAATACATTAGTTTGTGCATCACCAGAGCACCTTCTCTTCTTATGTCCAGGATATCATACTGATTTACATGTCAGATGTCCAGTTGTATTTCATGTTGTATTGCGTTTTCTTTTATTTTTGTTATCACTTTGTGCTTTCCTGCTCTGAAGTGATTAAAATGTCATTGAGTAGATTTGGGTTTGGTGGGAAGGGGGTTTGGTTGTGGGAATCTTGATTGAACCTTGTGAACCCTGAAAAGTGGCAAATAAAGTGTTCTGTTCATTCATTCAATGTTCAACTGTGCTGAAATGCTAGTGAATTCTGTTAATGTCTTTATCAATAATATAAACGTAATGCTTATCCCTTCTACATTCAAATACATCGCGTTGTATTTGAGGAAATTACATTTTGAAGTTTTTTTTTCCCAACAGCGTGCAATGATGGGTGTGCTGGAGCACTATTGGAAGATCTTGAATACCAAGGGAAACTATTACGTGAAGCTAATATTACGGGAATTCTTCCGGCTCCTTGGGGAAGGTTGTCACACATACGCCAACAATCAATGTATCTTTACACCAGGCAAGTGCCAGAATTTCGACGCGAGATGCAGGAATTTGTTCAATTCGAAAATTTAATTTTTGCTATTCAACCAGATTGGATATTTTGAGGAACATGGAAGCGATTTTGAATGGGCAATACTTTGACTTCGACCTGGACCCATTTGCCAACGAAATTCTCAGCAAGGTTCGTCTTGAATCCCGTTTGATGAGGAGCTATTCCCTTTTTTTTTCTGTGTATTGAAGCTTAAATGTTTGAGGAGATGGACGCAGGTACTGTACATGAAGCTTGGAAAATCTGACGAATGAGACGAACCCAAACTCCATTGCCGCAAAAATTGAAAAGGATAATTTTTCGTTCTTTATTGCAGGCTGAAAGCACTTTAATCGAAGCCGAAGAGCTGATTCCCAAAGCAGATAAGAAAATCGGAGACGCCAACAATGCGAAACTCATGGTCTTGAAGTTGAGGGACGAAATTGACAGTAAGTTCATTATCACCAGACAAAAACAGAAAAAAATCTGCTTCGATAAAGGGAGTAAAGTACCAAAAATTATGAATAAAGCTAAGTAGCATTTCTGAAGTATTATTCAATATTGAATGCCCAAACTCTTTGATCCAAGTGCAATTACCAATAAAGAAAATATGATGAGCTTCTTTTTGTCCCAACCTGTCTTAAGTTGAAGCCATAAAAATCAATATATCTTCTTCCATCTTGCAACTTACACAGTTAATGAAAAAAGTTTACAGTTTATTTTAATTGAATTTTGATCATGGTTTAAATAAATTTTCCAAAGAAAAATTCGTGCACTGTTGAAGTTATTTTGTACTGGTTGTGATTGTGATTAGGTCAGTTTTATCACAATCGCAAGTAAAATCACAAGCCTTCAAAAAATAAATGCACTATCACAATAATTAAAAAAAGGAATGCCCAATCGCAATCGCAAGGCTTGTGATTGTGCTACATTTTGGCACAATTAACAACCCTGGTTCATATACAGTATATAAAAAAAAAAAAGAGAAAAAGAAAACTTCACGTTCGGGGTTGTGCAAACGAAAATTGCGCGCAAAATTATTTGAGGAAATATCGCGTGTGGCATGTTTTTTCCGCGATTGCAACCATTTCTGAAATTGGACCCTCGCAATTATTTTTTTTTGTTCAGAAATTGTGTCAATGCTGCAAAGCTACGCATTCGAAGACCCGAGTGGCTCAGTGGGAATCGACTACGCAGTCAAAGAAGCCGAGAGAATCCTCGCAATTCTTCAAAAGGTTTCCTTGTCGTCCCAACACCAAGAAGCATCCGCAGAACTCAAACTTTGCCAAGATCTCTTGGCCCGAATCAAGGCCATGTTGTTGGAGCACCCGAGCATGGCTCAACTGCGCCCCAAGGCAGACACTTTGTTTCAACGCCTGGACGACCTGAAGAAACACTTGGACAATGTCAGGAGGGTCTTGTTCAGCGTCAAGTCGACGTCGAAGGAGAACACGGAAACTTTGAGCATTATTCAAAGAGCCCTGAAGGACATCGCGGGTATCGAGTCTCTCATCAGAGATACGCATGCTTCGTCTGAAGCTACTCTGCTCAAGGCCAGGGGATATTTGAAAGAAGCAGCTCTGTACTTTTCGGTTAGTTATTCATTTCAATTTCACCGTCAAATCTCGAAAATCAGTCACCATTTGTTTGTGAAGGTTTGTGGCAGTTCAAAAGGGGGTCGGTTGGTTATCAGAAAAGTTAAAAATAAAATGAAAATTAGGTATACATCAGAAAGATTCCATTGCGAATCTCGTTTTAACAAATTTTTTGTTATAACCGAATTTTTCTTGGTCCCAGCGGTTTCTCCGTAGCCGCCATGTTATACAATCTTGTTTCAACAAACTCACTTTAGGTTGCAATTTCATTATAACGAATATTTGGCCCTGATTCCATACATATACCCCAGGATTATTTCATAAATGACTAAAAATTGAAATTATTCAGCATTCCAAATTCTTTTACAAAATAAAACTTTCTGCAAAGAAAAATTTAATGGATCAGAAAAATACAGAACAAGACGTATTTCTTGGGAATTTTTAGCTCAATTTCAAATTGTATGCCTTTCCTTCAAGTTAAAAGCAATTTTCCTCAATTTGAAATGAGACAGAGGTATACAGTAAATGAAAAATGAAAGGATGTACTTTTTTTTCTCACACATGTAATAATTTTGTTTCAATTTATGTTTCAATAAAGACACATGCTATTTTATTTAGGCAGGTTTAATGAAAAGGAAGTAGTACTTATTTCTAATTATTTTCTTCATTTCTTCAGAGATATACTTGACAAATATGAAAAGTCTTGAATTCCTATTTTACAAGCACTTCACCTTTACAGTGCCCATTTTCCAAAAATGTTCAGTCTAAAGTGTGTAGAGTGTAGATTTAGACCATGAATGTTGATGCAAAATTTTTTTCTTTGTGACTAATTTTTCATCAGGTCTATGGGAGTTTGATGTAACGAGATTTTACTGTAATACGAAATTGAATTCTTCTTCTGGACGAAAATTGAAATGATCTTGAGATGCGTAATTTGTATCTAGCTAATGCTCCCAAGAAGTCACGTGATTTTGTGTTTTTTATTTTTTTCGAGACCTCTTGCAGAAATATGAATCTTATTGGTGGGCTATCGAAGACAAAAATTAATTGGCGGGAGCATGTGTGAGTTCTCAATAATTTTTGCGGATGTTGTTCTAGGAGGATTTTCAATACTTTTATCATTGGGAAATATTTGTTTTTCAGAATTAATTTGCGGTGCTTGAATGTGTGTAATAATGGGGATTGACTGCATATCTCGCGAATAAACTGTGAGAGAAATGAATTTATGCATATTTAAATTTATTTCTCAGGAATTGGTGACGCTGTCTGGCTCATTAATGGACAGTTACGGAAAGTGCGAAAAGCGAGAAGAAATTTTCTCTCGTTTACTTCCGAAATACCAGACTCAGTATGTTTTACCAGCTCAGGAACACGCGAGGACTTTGCAGGCCACTGGACAACGTCTGGCAAAGTGAGCACGATTTTTTGTTGTTGTTTATGAGTCACCGAAGAATTCGGTTATGAAAATGTATTTTTCTCTTAGTCAATTCAACGCGACGAAAGAGTTTTCCTTGAACGCGATGATTGCTGCAGAAGTGTACAATGATATCGTGCTGAAAATCACCAAGGCTGAAGAAGCTGCGAAAGCTGCCAAAAAGGCTGCCGACGTTGCTCATCAGAGAGTGAGTTTCAGAAATCTTCCACCAGACGAAATTCCATTCGGAGTTTCACTTGTAACGAACGATTTTTATTTTATTTCGCAGGTGTTTTCAGACCCGGACCAGAGTCCAGTGAAAATGGCCTCGAAGTCATTGCAAATCTCTCAGCAGCTTCTTCAGGAAGCCAGACAGCTTGTCAACAGACTGGACCAGCTCAAGCGGGAATTATCGGCAGAAAAGAAGAAGATGGAGCATATTAAGAAAACTCTTTCCCGCGTTTCTGAAGAAGTTTCTACCATCAATGCTTTATTAGATCAGCAAGACAACGCAGGTGAGTTTTTAATGGTTGCTGATCGTTTTTTGTTGTTGTTGTGTGTATTTTCCATCACTGGAAATGATGAGGTCATGCAGCCATTTTCTATCCCCTCTTTGATTAAAAACTGTGTTTAACATTTTTTGAAAATTGAAATAAGCAGTATAGCTAAAATACGGGATTAGAGTGGCACCAGGAAAATGGCGGAACTTTGGGAAAGTTGGGGATTTGATGGGACCAAGGGCGACCTCCGGTTCCCACAAGATGCTGAATTCTTGGGGAAATCCTTTAAGAAGGATAATACGCTCAGGGACAAAATTTCCATGGAAAGGAAATTGCATAAATAGCAAATCATTTCTGTATTTCATTTCATCAGTTGCTTCTGTGTTGTCTTGCGCAAAAGACTGCTTGCAAAACTGCTGTTGTCAAAAGATATTCATTGAAATACTCAAAAAATACATCAACCTTACACTAGGGTGTCAAGCACCCCAGCCGCAGCCCGGCTGATTGTTGTCTAAAAACTTCATTTCAAGCTCTCTCGAAAACCCAATCTACTAAACAATTCCATTTCCAACATAAAAAGTGGTAGCAGAGCGTGGTTTCACGTCTCTTCAACATTTCTTGAGCTCCTTGGATAATTATTTTGAAATCAATGTAATCAAAAACAGAGCAGTAAAAAAAAAAACAATCGTTCACCGGGTTCATTTAAAAAGTGTATTTTGATAATAACCCCTATGATATAATTGAACCTGTGTGTATTTCCAGGATTGGAAGAAAGAGGCAGACAGATTTATGCGAAAGGAGAAGAGGGTCTGCAAATTGCATTCAACGCATTGGACAAAGCCATGAACGTTTCTCATTGGCTGGACAAGTTGAAAGTTGAAATCAGCAGCTCGCTTGCAGGCAAAACCGCCAACATAATCGAAAACGAACATAAATGCGAGTTCAATGCATCATGTTCAGAAATGTTCACACTGTTCTGATTCGCGTTTTTTTTTTCAAATTATATTTCGAACAGTGGAAATGATCAAAATAACGGTGAACAAGATTCAGCAGGACTTGAAAACTGTCAACATCACTCGGACGGTTGTTTCCAGAAAGTGTGGATTCGTTGGAAGTCAGTTGAAAAGCTTGCGAGAGAAGATAGAAAGGGCGAGAAAGGCTGCTGCTGCTGTGAGTATAATTACAGTAGTTGGTTAACAAACTTTTCGATTAATGGACTTTTTGATAAACAAACTTGTGGTTGTTAGGAAAAATTCCTTGGTTAGAAACCACATTTGGTTTTTTTTAAACATCTGGGGAAAATCCCAAATTTGAAGATTGAAAATGTGATTCTATGGCTGAAATTTATTGTACAATTCACCTATGCGCTGATATGAAAATTCCTCCCTTCTGGTACTTGAATATATGTAATCTTGAGTTTTAAAATATGTTTTGGCTGCATTGTCCATGTGCTTTTCTGTGACAGAATTATTTGCTCTTCTGTGCTTTGTTTTTTAGCTGTTCAATTGTTAGGAATCTATTCTATATTCACTTGCAGCATTGAAAAAAAAACATTTAATTTTAATTACAGACATTTAAATCCGTCAGTGTGTGTTTCTCTGGATGTGAAAGTTTTTCATCTTTGTTTTCATCAGTGCTACTTTCATGTATCTTTGTAAAAACATTCTGGACACATATAGGATGCAGCAATAACTTATTTCTGATAGCTCTTTGGTTTTGATAATTATATTTCATATTCAACTTCATTTTGGGTTCACAGAATAGATCAAACTCTTCTTCATTGAAGTCTTTGGGAAAATCAAATTAGGTTCAAACACTTTTTGTCCCATAAACTTGTGTCTGAAATCAATCAAGTTTGTTAACCAAGGGACCACTGTATCCTTCATTTTCCTTACATATTTCCCAAAATTATGAAAGTTTCCAAATGTCTGACGTTGTTGAGTTAAGGCAGAATAATAAAGTTATTAAATGGTATGATTTGTGGAAAACTGGAAGAGTCTCCCCTCCGCTCAAAATTGCACTACCTGATCAACATTTCTTGGCTGATCACTGGCCTCTAAATCTTGGAAACTAATGGTCCTCTTTTCATTCTACTGGACTCAAGGCCAGGAACCAAACATCAGTATTTGTGCATTTCAAGCCAATGGGTACTTGATTATCTTGTCAGACAAGTGTTCAGAGTTAGCTGAGAACGTTTTTTGAGAGACCTGTTAAGAAAATTTAAAATATATTTTAAATATTTCAATTAGAAATCCTTGAAGGATTTCCGACCTTGTCCTTGGCTGATTGCTTTGTTTTAATTTCCTCCTTTTGGCCTTCCTTCTTGAAAGATCCACTTTTATTCAACTGAATGTTTAGGTCACCTCAATTCCTCAACAGACGTGATTTGAACATTTTTTTTCAATTGCAACCGAGATTTCTCGTGAGAGAACTGAAAGGCAACCTTCCGAGGGATTCCAAAGTTGATGAATTCGAGTCTTTTAATGAGAATTTGAATGGGCTTTTATCCAGATTCGCAGGGTGTCAATGAAAGACGTTTCGGGATCTTGCTCAAGAGTCTACTCAACACCAACAGCTCCTTCGTTGGTCACGAACGTGGACATGACCTACAGCTTCAGCAAAGAGCACCGGAACAGTCTTTTGTTTTACATGCCACCTAGTCCTGTGAGTATTAATCTAAAAGAAAATAAAAATTCGAGTCTGACAAAGTTGTTGGAAATGCGTTCGTTTTGCAGAACAAGAATGATTTCATGTCCCTGGAAATGGTGGATAGAAAAATCAGATTTGCCTGGAACGTTGGTGACAGTGTGAAGGAAATGTTCAGCGATGCTCTGGCTCCGAATGACAGGGGCATGCAAAGTGATTCCAAGTGGTATAACATCATTGCTTCCAGGTAAAAATTCATTCTTCACGCAAATTTTTAAAATTCAAATTTCCCAAACGTGAATATTCGTGGATTATACCGTAATATTATTACTATTGCCCTCGAGCAATTGGCTTCTTTAGTTGCAAATTTTGATGAAATCCTAACCCGAAGTAAGACTCGCATCAAGTTTTTTTTAGTGTCTCTAAAACCGCATATACTGTATTTCGAAAATATTAGAACACCCAAATTTGAATGTAGACCTGAATTGAGCACTGATTTCCATTAAAATACGTTTTTCTGTTCAATGTTTTTTTCAAATTTCCACCTAGAAGCAAATGCACAGAAATTTCTAAAACTTCTTGAAGAATGCAAATACCTGCCTAAATATGTCGCTCACTTTTTTTCTCCCCCCTTTATTTTCTCAAATTTTAGAAAAAAAAAACTGCGCGTGGTACTCGAGTAAATATGGGTACATATACTCTTGGATTTTCTTATAACCATTGTTTATTTTCTATCAAATTCAAATATGCAGATAAATGCTCCGTATTCAACAAGGTGAATTTAACTCGCTATAAATCTGCTGATGAGTGTATGATGTCGTCATCCGTGACATATCATTTCTCATCTATCTAGAATTCAAAAAAAATAGAACCGAGATGTTCAGACAAAAAAAAGTATGACTGTTCATGAACTTGTGACACAGGATTGGAGGCTCGGGTAAATTGAGCGTGCAGCCAGTGACCATCACGGAAGATCCCGTGCCCAGAATCGCGGAAAGAAGCGATGGCCAGTCCCTGGTCTTGGATTCTGCCCCCGGGGGAGAAATTTGGATCGGGGGAGGACCGAAGGCGCATTTGGAAAATCTCAACACCACGAATTTCGTTGGCAGTGTCCACGAAATGTTTGTCAATGGAGAGAAAGTCGGGCTGTGGAGCTTCAAAGAACAAATTCAACTTTGTACTGGTTTCATTGAAGGGTCAGTGTATATATCATTTACAGTACTTGTGCTTGATTAAAGTACTGTAATATAATTCTATCTTTTTCGAATTCATGAAATTATTCATACTGAACGGAAATAACCTCTCATGCTTATTTGGATTTCGAAAGCTGCCGGAAGGAAAGTGAAATTGTTATATTTTAATTCCTTCCCGTTTTGCTTTTGTTTTTGTTTTTTTAAATTAAAAGCATGATTCGATATTTGAATTGGAAATGTCGTCCATTCCTACTCGATTGTTCGAAAAATCCATGAATTTTCCCAAATGGATGGATTTTGAGCTGGTCCATCGCTCAAATATTTTGCAACCGTAGTCTCAATGTGGAAAGTGAAAAGCAATAACCGAAGTCAGAGCTCGACGAATGATTGAAAGAAGACAGAACATTTCGTCAATATTTATAATTGCGATTTTTCCAGAGCATCGAAGAATGAAGACGACTCCTCTTTCAATTTCGGCCCTGGTTCATACGCCGAAATCCCGCAAGCCAAATCCGGTCGTCTCGACTCGGCAGTTTCTTTGCGCTTCAAAACATTCGCCAAAGACGCCGTGCTGTTTTTCACTGGGAACCAAAACACTGTAACTATACATATAGAATTCGTCTTCAACTTTCCGGTAATTCAATCGATGATTTGTTCTTCGTATATATAGGGGCAATACATCTTATTGGCTCTTGTCGGCGGTCGAGTTGTTTGCGACATCAGATTCGGAGAGGACATGAAAATCACGATGAAATCGAATCAGCTGTACAACACAGGGGTATGGACTTTGGTGGAAATTGGCAGAGCCTTGCAGGGCGGGACTGAGAAAGGTGAGTGTGCTGGGAATATTTTGATGTAAATCGGGTTTCTATTCCTAACTGCTGCGTTTCTTAAATGTTTAGCCAATTTCGTTGTTGACACGGAGCCGGTGCAGAAAAAGGAAATGAGGGCCCGACCGGGTTACGAACTGAATTTCGGGGAGGAAGCGAAGATATATATTGGAGGTGTTCCTCCGGATTTCCCTCGAGCAGCATGGCCCAGTATTCGATTCGATTCCTACGAGGGTTGCATCATGGCACCGATCATGACTCAAGACGGCACTTTGAATCCCATGGAGGGCACGTACTTTGGGATCAGGACCCCGTGTTCCGAAGCCGTGAGCATTTTGATCTCGAATCTTTTCCGATGAGTTCTTCTTTTTTAAAATATTTTTCTGGCGTTTTTTAAATTTTTTATCTCAATATATCAATACTGAAATACACAAATTTACTATCTAACATATTTATAGGCAGCATGTTTTCCCCGATTCCGAATGAGTAGCTTTTCCAAAACGAACCCAACTGGACCTCAACGTGTATATAGTGCATAGTAGTGTTCAAGTTAAAGCGTAGTAAGAGGCGGGTGACATCTGTGTGACAGCAACGGAACTCGCGGATTAGGCTTATTTAAATTGGTGTTTCCCAACCCGTGGTCCGCGGACCAGCACCGGTCCACGGGAGTTTTTTGCTGATCAGAGAGAAATCTCCTTCAGCTTAATAAATTTGAGAAAATTAGCGATGAAGTCTGTTATCTTCATCTGAAATTTTGGAGAGGCAAATGGCAGTTGAAATTATGTAATGAAAAAAAAGGGGCATTTCTCCTGGTTGATGCTTTCAGACAAATTTCCAAATGCTGAAAAAAAATTCTTGAATTTTTCATTCTGAAAAATATTTCTTCATGCACACCTTTTATAATTTTCAGAGACATTCCACTGAAGCTTCTTCATTGGTTCTCAGATTAATTTTTGCAGCACAGCAGAAACGTTTTAAATATCTGCCATTAAGTTCTTTGAACAAAACTTTTCTGAGTCTGCAAAAATGTGATGAAACTTTGCCGGACTGCAACATTTTTTTTTCGGACTTTGTGGGTCAGCAAAACATTTTATGGAAACCTGTTGTTCCACAAACCCGAAAAGGTTCAGGAAAACTGGTATAGATTAATGTTCGAAATAAGGAAGCCATATTAAAGAGCTCTGAATATCGCCAGATTTTTTATAAGTATCTTTTTTGTGCACGAAAATTCAGGATCCAGCTGCTGTAAGTTTCGACAATGGACAAGACGACGCCCAAGCAACAGCAAAAATCGTTCGCACCAAAAACGGGAACAAGAAGAATACTAAGAAGCAAAGTCAGTTCCTCGGTTTTAGCTTCCGAGGGTCCCTGGAAAACTCATTTTTGCTAGAAGCTGCTTCTTTGGTAAGTTATCTTATTTCAAATTTTCGAAGAGAGAAGGATTTATTTTTATTTTTTACAATTCATAAAAACTGGATTTTCACGTTTTTGCAGAGAGGGAAGAAAACGTCGGCAGTGCTTTATTTGGTCGGAAAACGACTCAATTGTACCATCACGACTCTGTCGGGATCCGTGTACGATTTCTACACTCATTCTGCGGCTCCTTTGGCCGCCTGGGCCACGCATAATCTCGCAATTCGGTGGTCCAAAAAGAAGTGGGTTCATGCGAATAACTTGCTTCACGGCGTTTGCAATGAAAGAAAACCTTTTTCTAAAATACGCCGATCGGATATTGTTTTGTTTTAAAGGCTCGCTGTGTTCCTGAATGAAACTGAAGTGGAGTTTGCGGGTGGAAGAAAAACGGCGATTTCTGCTCAAGACGTCACTGGATTCGATGATGAACTGGACGTTGTTGTTGTTGGTAGTCCACTCAAATCTAAAACCCAGGGAATTGGACGTTTCCACGGATGCATTCACGACATTGTTTTCAGAGATCAGTAAGCTCTTCCTTTGCTTATACTGTATATAAGGGATCTAAGAAATGTTTTTGGAATATAAATTGAAACCGCGTACAATTGAGCTGAACAAATTCCGTGGCACAAGAAGAAAAATTCAGCCCAGTTTGAGATATTTTGCAGAAAATATTTGCGATCACCAGCTGATAGCTTTCTGCTCTTCGCTGAAAAGATGAGGCGCCCATCCTGCAGTTATTTTTTTTATGTACCCCAGCTGTGAGAAAAAGATTGTTGTGCTAAAAGAAATCTCACAAAGGGGCAAAGGTGATAAGAATTATAAAGGGCTAAAATCAAACAGGTGCTTGGAAAGGAATACTTGGTTAATGACAAAGTCTGTCAAATAGGAATTTTTACTGATTTTAAGGAATTTTGCGGTGAAAGAAAACACAGTCAAGCAGCAGCCAGGCTGCGGCCGGGACAAGTTTGTCCTATTTCAAGATGGTATATTTTGGGAAAGTGATTTCACTGTTTTAAGATTTCAAATGACACGCAAAAAGCTTCTCTATACACAGAGATCTGCTTAGGTTTCCAACTCAACGCAAGTGCTTCAATCTAGAAGTTTGAAATCAGGAAAGGAAGAGTTGAAGGACAAAGAGTTTTAGGGATTAATAGTTCATCTAGAAATGTCCTTGCTGGGCCTGGGAACCAAACTTGGATTTGGTTCACAGTGGCTCCAGTAGAAGCTGCAAAACTTTTCTTTCAGATTAGAGAAGAAGAATTTCTTGTCTGGCCCTAAATTATTGGCATGCCAAAGTTTTTTCCAACACCAGCTTTCCCTTCAGAGTTCTTGAAATTCAAGAGGCATTGATTCAAAGGGTTGCTGCCATTAATTGATCATTAATTCAGCCACTTCCATGTGCAGCCGCCCCTTGGGATAAGAATTTCACAGCTTTTGATGAAAATGACGGAATTAATTTTGAAGACCTGGAGGCGCCCCTTGGGATAAATGCCAAGTCAATTTCAATAATTCTCAAGGAATAGCTGGGGTACACCAAAAAATCTGCTAGATTAGTGCCTCATCTATTGAGTGAAGAACGGAAAGCTGGGAGGGAGACTTTTGCAAAACATTCTGCAAAATATTGTATGCTGAACAGAGCAGATTTTCTTGAATGAATGAACAGAACACTTTATTTGCCACCTTTCAGCGTTCACAAGGTTCAATCAAGATTTCCACAACCAAACCCCCTTCCCACCCAACCCAAATCCACTCAATGACATTTTAATGACTTCAGAGCAGGAAAGCACAAATTGATAACAAAAATAAAAGAAAATACAATACAGCATGAAATACAACTGGATATCTGACATGTACGCATACACCATGCATTCATTCCCTGACATTGGTAACAAAATATATATGAAAATTAATTTAAAGCACTTTCTTTCTTTTTCTTTTGTGTTATAAAAGATTTTCTTTCTCTTTCTTGTACCAAAAAATAATTTTCCTGAACAATAATTATTTTTGTGCCTCAATACTGTTTGCTGTTTCAATGACTGTTTTGAGAACATTTGGTAAACCCCTTGGGCGTCTTTTGCTTTTGTTTCGGAATGATGATCGAGCGAACAAAATTCGCGAGTCATCTATCCATTGATTATTCTGTACACAATGACTAATCTTTGTTGGGAAGTTTTGTGGGTAAAAATCCATTCTTGAAGTTTCAACGTGCGTTGCTTATTGATGGTAATTTTTTTCCAGGGTCCTGACGTTTGACAAATCGTCAGCCAAGAACGCCATTCTCGGCACCTGCGTCGGTCCTCCGAGACTCGGCGACGGATCCAACTTTTGCGGCGTCGGCGACACCTGGCGACGAGACCCCCTGTCTCTTCCGGACGCATCCGACGAACCCGTGACGGGCAGTAGCATCAGTCGTAGGAACAGTCGGGACTCTGGGTCCAGTGATCCGACTTCGTCGTTCTGCGCGCCGAAAACCGTGTCCGTGTTGGAATTTGCCGCGAGTTTCGGCGACTCGGGCAACGTGAGCTGGATTGAAATCCCCGGGTTCGGGTCGCAGATTTCTCGGGCAAACGGAGGCGACTCGAGGGCGTTTTTACTGTCCCTGCAATTCCGGACGAATGCAACGAACGGACTGCTGTTTCACTCCCTGGTAAGGGTTACAATTTGGCCTTGAAATCCATGTACAATAGTTTTTTGTTGTGGTTGTTTTCGTTTGGTTTTGTTTCCGCATGATTGCTGAATGAAGACATATTCTTCATCGGAGTTTGCGAAAAAATTGAAGGAACATTTTTGAAGTGATTCTTGAAAATGCTCGACCATGCGCTTGCTTCTCTGACGTGAAACGTAGCTGTTTTGGCGCTCAAAATTTGACACAAATAAGAAGTGCGCCCTCCTGATTATTGAATGAAAACGTATTTTTTTGGAGTGGGAAGAAAGGCTTCTAAAATATTGTTTGGAATCAGATGCGAAATATTGTACTGTGAGACCCCAAGATGCGGACCTAATTGGTGCATCAAGAGTGTCCCCATTGTCCCTAAGTCGAGTCTTGTTTTCCCATAGACTTACATTATATAATTTTTAATTGGTGTTTTGTGGAAGAAATATTCTACAGAATTCCCTGAAAAAAATTGCTTGCCCCTTGAATTTGAAGTAGTGAATACATTTTCAACTCGATAAGAACATGTTGAGCATTGAATAGTGTATCTCTGTACTGTACACTGAAATTTTGGCATCTACAAATATAACATTCAAGTGGAAAAAGTAAAAGTCCCTCTATGCTGGAGGTAATTTTTTTCAATTAGCTGAAAGGATGGTAATTTGGTGAGAGAAATGCCCAAGAACTTTTCTTACATCAATTTTAGAGTTGGAAATATCCGTTTCTTGTAATTTGGCCTGAATTGTATTTGCAATTTTATCACAAAATTTCCCTATGTTGAGTCAGTGTCCTCATTTTGGGCCTTTATTTATTTATTTTTTTCTGGGAAAATAAGTGTCCCTATGTCAAATTGTCCGCAGGTAGAGGCGTCTGCATGTGGGGGTCTCACTGTATTTGTGTCTAGGCCGCACTTCATAGACTTGATTGGCAAAAGTGTAAAAGCGGATTCATAGATGTCGCACATGGAGAACCATTTGTTCTAACTAAGCAAGTAGGGAAACTGGTTTGAAATCACGCAGAATGGAGGCATTTTATTCATTGGAGCTTGCGAAAGAACTGAGCAAACATTTTAAAGTTTTGTTTAAAAATGCTCGGTCATGCTTTTTCGCCGTAAAACGTATCTGTCTTGGCGCTCATAATTTTGCATAGAAGTTCCCGAGCGAATTCTGAACCTGCGAATTTCAAATGCCTCACAAAGAATATGTGTGTACCGATTTAATTAGTTACCCTTTCGGGAGTGGGTCAGCAAACTTGCGTAAAATCCCGTCGCCCTTTCCCTGAACTCTTATCATAGAACGTATGATGATGAATATTTTTTTTCCTTCCTTTCGCAGTCTGAGGAAGGACACATACTTGCCATTTATTTGCGAGACGGTCAAGTGCAAGCAGTCATTAACCACGGGGGCAAATCAAAGAAGGTCGTCAAACTGAGGTCACGTGCTTTTGTTGCGGATGGTCGTTGGCACGAGGTGACGAAAAATTTCCTTTCGTGCTTTCTTTTTGGGCATGCGTTTTTCAACTCTTCATATTTTTATAAAGGTATCCGTCGAAAGGAAGCACAAAGACGCGCGTTTGTACCTGGGTTCGACCCAGATGGACAACAAGAAAGTTGCCAAGGGTTTCAAGTTTGGCAGTTCCATCTTTTTGGGTTCCGTGGCTGACGGCAGCAAAAAGTTTTCACCGATTGTGAGTTTCATTTTTTGTCGCAGTTTGTTACGTGAAATATTTCTATGCACTTTTTTATCCGACGGAAGAAGCCGAATGTGGAGAGTATTTTAATTTTTTTTTTCTGTGGAATGCGGGTTGCGAATCGTGATGATGAAATTGTTCTCGGGCTATTTTCAGGTTTACCAACCGTATGTTGGCTGCATCACAGCTGTGGCTTTGAACAAAGTCAGAAGGGATCTCGGTGCTGCAAAGTTGACCAACATCTTGAATTGTTTCATCGATGCTGAACCCGGGGCATTTTTTGCCGGTGATTCTGCAGCAATCACTGGTACAATTTATGATGATATTTTATCAAAAGAAAAAGTGCTTAAACATTTTTTTCTGAAACGATCGTTTTTAACAGAATCCCTGGCGAGTCTGAGCAGAGGCTTGGACATCGAATTGGAAATGAAGTCAACTGAGAAGCAAGCGGTTCTTTTGACAGTTGGAAGCATGCAGGGTTTCGGACCCGGTGTCCAGTTGTCTTTTCATGACAATGAGGTTTGCAAAAATTGTTCTCAATCAGTTCAAGTTGAAAAACTGCTACGTGAAGAAGCAAGAAACTCTGAAAAAAATAAAATAGAATTCTCATGGAAATACTAGAAAAATTATGAAATTAATGTTAGCCATCCCAAGTGAAGAGCTATTTTTGCTGTGACCCCGCAGTAGGTGCACACCAGGGTCACAACTGGTGCATATGGGATATTCTGGGGTTACAAGTGTGCACTCCTGTGGAGGAAATTTTGCTACCATTCCAGGGTTACACTTGGTGCACAAATGTGAAATAACAGGAGCATCACACAAATGCACCAACTGTAACCTTGGTGTGACTTATTTGTTTACAAATGTGACCCTGAGTAATCCTGGTGTGAACACACAGTTGGTGCACATTGGGGATATGCATGTGCAACAGAAGAACTTTGGTACAGGTCAGGTGCACTGCAGGGTCACTGTGTAGAATTATGAACAAATCCCCAGTGCACCAATTTCCCCATTCGGGGCAGTTTTATGTTGCCAGCAATCATGTGTGAATTTCGTTGAATGCCTCTACCCATTTGGAAACTATCACATTGAAGACTGAAAATTTGTTTTTTGGACATTTGATACGATTTCAGGTTATCTTGAGAGTGAAGCCAGTTTCAGGAAAACACAAGATCCTGAAATACCAAATGAGCGGACTTGAAAGCATCTGCAACTACTCCTGGCATAAAATCCGCGTCCGAGTCGGAGGCTCGCGTCTTTCTCTGCAGGTAGATGTCGCTCCAGAGATCGTAGAAAATCTATCGTCCGTCCTGGATTTTGGCGTGAGCAACGTTCGTCCGGATATATTCATCGGAGGTTTGGAAAGCTTTTAGCAGTTCGCGTGGTTTTCTTCGAAATTTCAATCGCCATTTCTTGTCGATATATATAGGATCACCTGAAGATGATGAACCAACTTTCAAGGGCTGCATCAAGGGTTTCCAGCTGAGTGGGGCTTCCGTTGGATGGGATTCGATGAAAGTTTTGCGGAATGTCCGAATCAGTGGTTGTCCCGTGAACTGAATTTCTGGGCAATTTCTTTTTTTCTTTAGCGGAGTCTTCTAGAAAATTTGCTAAAAGTCCCTACAATAAATCGACAACAATTTGAAAACACTGTCATTTATTCTTCTCAGGCATTCACCGGATCAGAACTGAAGCACCTTCGATGTTTCGAAAAGAATTACTTTGCTGTTCTATTCGTTTTTCATTTGAAAACGTTCCAAGTGAGGTTCAGCGAAATGATTCTGTTTATAAGCGTTGCACGAGTTTTGGTTTCTTGCTCGAACGGTCGAAAACCTGTCGAATTCAAAACGAAAAACGCAAGGAAATCCTTTTTTTTTATCTTCGCTATGGAGTGTGAATTTAATCCGTAATTTCTGCATGAGAAAGATCTAGAAATCGCAGCCAAATTTTAATTCCTCGTCTTTCGAAATGTGCAAATATTTCACCGTGTTCCGGTAAAAAGTCGCGAATCGTTTGGGAGATAAACTTTCATCGTCCTTCACGTACCTTTCTGCCAACGAATATACCCTCTTTCCTGATGGTACCTTTAATGCTTCGAGAAAGCATCATTCGATCTAGTCTTTCTAGACCTACGTTTTTTTTTTCTTCGCCGAAAGAAGCCTAACGTTTCTAGATAACACCTTTTTCCCGCGGCTTCTTATTGACGGCGAAACAAAATGGGAGAGCGTTTTTTTTTCTTAGTTCTTCTTTTTTGAATCAATGTTCATTCAGTGGTTTCCCAGTCGCCGAATTGCAAGATTGCTCTTCCCTGAACTTCGTTTTGTGCGACCATTTTCAGCACATCTGCTGCCCTGTCTGCTGGGTACAGTCTGTATGGTGGAGGCTGTATCTGAAAAAAAAATCAATTTTGCAAGGTTGCATCATATCAAGAAATTTCTTAATTCTTTGTATGTAAAAACGCATGCTTCATCAGGAGTACAGTTGGACCTTGCTAATAAGTTAAATTTTCTTACTTGTTTTTCCAATTTTATAGTATTTTCTTGGGGAAATTTTTTTGAAGTACAGTGTACTGTACTCACAAAGTGTTGGACTCAGTTTATCACCAAATTTTTAGAGTCATTTGGGCTGTTGGAAAAGTGGCATAAAAATCTAACTTTATTCTTTTCACAAAAGCGAAAGACTATACAGTACCATGTGCAGCTTTTTCTGTCAAATTTGCACTAAAAAGGGTTTCATAATTTTTTCAAAAGGTTTCAGAAATTCAGGTGTGTATTATAATTGATTTTGTTTGAAAACCATGGACCAAGTGTAACAGTAAATTCATTTTAATGAAAACAATTGAAAATTACTTGATGCTTTGTTCACACCATGCTTGAATTCAAATGTTTTTGCTCTCACTTTTGAGATATTGTGGGTTTAGAATAACTATAAAAATTGGGTGTGTTTCTTACTTGGGGTTGGGGATAGTCTTTTATCAATTTTTGGTACTTTCCTGTTATCTCTGTACCTCATTCCTAGACCGCACTACCATCCAGACAAATCTTTAGGACAAGTTTATAATCACAACAACCTACCAGAAACTGTGAATTTTTTTTAGCATTCTGCTGAAACTGATTTTGGGAGGCAGTTAGGTTAGGTCCAGTTAAATTGGTCAGAGGAAAGGTACAGAGATAACAGGAAAGTACCCAATTTTTTCTTATTGAAAAAGGATACTTGATTCATAAGTGAATGCTTGTGCTTTCTACACTTTTCTTTATTTTTGTTTCAACAGTCTCAAGTGTACAAACCTCCAAGTACAATTGAATACATATGAAGCAGTGTATATTGTGAAGAAAAAATCATGTTTGAATACAGTATATGGATAATTCAAAATAACAAACCTCTTTATTGACAACCAGGTTCACCAAATCAGTGAGCTGCTTCAACGAGCCCACAGACACGTTTTTGATCGTCACCTTATCATCTTCGCAATTCCGACTGAATCGTCCAATAAGAAAGTCTGAGCTTTCAGATCCAATCATAACTGTGCCTCCCTATACATGTGAAAAGAAAAATAATCATCAAACCCTAATAATAAATAATGATTATATCTTTAAAATGATGGGTCAGATTTTTTGAATACCTTGTTCAAGCATTTCATGCACCTCATGAGAATCCTGGTGGTTGTGCCAAAGTTGATGACGATGTCGACTGTTCCTTCGCAAACTTCCAACGTTCTTTCAATGAGAGCACTTTCGTGCAGATGTTCACTCCACGTTACGACTTTGAAGCTTCAAAAACGGAAAAAAAAATGTTCGAAAAATTCATATTTGTGTAAATCTTCTCTGGTCAACATTTTTCTCTTCTGTAGTTCAGTTTGAAACAAGAAGTATATGAGGGTTGTCCCAGTTGGACGTGACCTCTGATATTTTCAAAGTAAGTGTACCTGTAGAAAAAATCATGACAAATCACCCATGATGTTCTGGACATTTTAAAAAAGAAATAAAAAAGTTTTGAATGATGAATGAAAACTTAGGAGGTATAGCTGAAGTTCTCCCCCCATGTCACAAACAGGGTGATGCAAATTTGCCTGGTCAGCTCAAAAATTTAGAATTTTTCTTTTAATGATCGTTTTTGTAAATTTGAGGTAATTGTTAAGAGAACAATAAATGCCAATTTTTGTCAGCCTAACATACTTTTTGCATCCTGTATTGTGGCATGGGTAAAGTTTTCATTCATCATCTTGAAGTAAAAAACTTTTTCAACCCTTGCGCAGCTAAGTTGAGATATTTTTGCAAAATGTTGTCCCCCATGACAGCTTCAAATTAAAAAAAAATAATAATTTGCACCAAGGCAAAAGTTCCAGATCATTAGACTTCTGCCTTGGTTCAAAGTTGAATATTTTTTAATAATCCTGCAGACAAATTTGGCTCAAACATTTTAAAAATCTCTTCCAGGGTGGTATTTTTTCATGCATAGGATTAAAATTGAGGATTTCTTTAGACAATGGGATTTTCTGAACCCGGATTTTTCCCAACTTAGGCCTTGTGGCAACTTGAGGGGCATTTCAGTGACCTTTGGTCAAACTGAAATGCCCCTTGTCCACCCAAAAAATTAAAAATTTGGCTCAGGATGGCCTGGAACTCTGTGCTGTCCAAGGGTTGATAATAAAAAATAAGTCCCAGAACATTATGAGCTATGTCAACATATGCAATTGAAGAATTTATTGAAAAAAATTCCAGAACCTCTTAGAACATCATTGGCTTTTTCATGATTTTTTTACAATCACACCTACTACAATTTAGTATCAGAGGTCGCCCCTAACTGCTGGGACAACTCTGGTTTTTTTTTTTCGAAGTTGGATGCACAGACCAGCATAAATGATGCTGATAACTTTTTCCAGGAAAGTTCTGCCCTTTTTCTTACACAGAAAACATATGAGTGAATTGATCAAAGCAAGTGCGACGAATCAGATGAATATTTCCTCACGTGTTCCCGTATTCTTCGGCAACCCTGGCGACGCCTTCGTCTTTCAGCGTTGCCACCGTTACTTCAACCATGTTTGACGCGTCTTTGAAGTAGTACTGCGCCATCCTCAGGGCCCATAGGGTCAGTCCACCAGTTCCAACCATCAGAATCTTCACTTTTCCTACGGAAAATTAAAAATTATCCATTAATAATAATATATACAAGTGGAATATCTCTATACAAATAAGACATTCATGGCGGGGAAAAATTGTTGTAGAACAAATTTTGTTGCAGAAAACCCCTCTAATATGTGATTTGTGGACAGAAAAAAATGTTATTCAGTAAAATCAGTACTGAGAAAATTGTTGCAGACAATCAGGTCATTATGATGCAGAGTGAGTCCAGCACCTGTACTGCACAGTTGAATCTCATTAAAATGCTAATGAGGTACTTGGGACCTGAAATGAGAAAGCTGTGTTGTTACAGTAAAATCTTGTTACAATTAAATCACATGAGGGACATCATGCGATTTTTTTAATTGAAACTCATGGTTTCTAACGCATTTTAGACTGCAATTTTATGGTAAATGGGTAATAAATACTTTTGAGTCCTTCTACAACAGATAATTCAAGAACTTTCACAAATTCCAAGCCTATTAAATTTAGAACTCTGATGGAATAAAGAGGAAAATTTTTGATATTACAATAATATTGAACCTGCTTTTCTATTTGCTGTATAATAGTACATTTCTTTACTGTACAGTACAGTACTATCATACTTGCTGTGTGTCTTGAAAAATGAAATGGAACAAAAGTACTTGTAGGAGAATTACTCTCTCTCTCTCTCTCTCAAATCATCTTCAAATGTCTGTTTGCTGGCATTTGAAGAGGCAAATTCTAATAATTATTTAGGGTATTAATGTAAGTAAAGAATAATGTAGGCTACTATTTATTATGAAGGATTTTTCTTATTGGAGCATGTGGATCAAGGAATGACTTGGATCATTCCAAAATCTTTCTTTACATAATTGAGGCCAATTTTTCAACTATTATGGTATTCCCACCCTGAGAGGGATCAAATCTATGAACCAAGTCGACCCTTTGCATTTCTGATGCATATATACAAGGACACACTTGGAAAAAATTCTGGATAAGCCAAAAACATTATATTTAACATTGTGATTGATGGTTGATGATTAACAGATTGATCTGCTAAATTGCCTAAATAACAGTATGCCCTTGGTACATGAAGTCAAAATATATGAGTAATTAATGGTATTTTTATTTGACTGCCTTTCGGGGTCCTCTTTTGTAAATCATCTCAATAATAATGGACACTGATGATGAACCTTACCCATGCCATTTCTTGAAGCCAAAATGTCGTCTACGATGGATTTGGCATCAAAAACTGCATTCAAAGCCCAGAGTGCGCCAGTCGGTAGCATTGAAGCAACAGGAAGTGGAAGTGCATCCGGAATGTTCACCAAATAATCCAAGCTGGGCACTGAAATGAACTCAGCGTACCTGCGAATTATTGCATATTCATGAAACGTCTTGTCTTCATAAAAAAATCTGACATTCATTTGCTGAAAATTATCAACTCTGATTCAAAATTTGCTTCAGATTGTGAGATTTGGCCAATTTTTCGCATGCTAAGAGGGTTGATAGATTATTATTATTTTCTTTTTCAGGTATTTAATTTTTAAAAATTTCTGAACTACATGATGACATTACTGTGGGATCCTGGTTAACAAACGCCCTGCTTAACAAACTATTTGGATCACAAAGATCATTTTGGCCTCAGCTGCCTTGGATAACAATAAACCAGCATGACTTGGTTATTTACAGAATTTTATTTTGTGTAGGCAGGCCTCCAAAAATACTCATCCTCTTGGGTCTGAAATTGTCACCATATATTTCCCAGTACAGTAGATATTTCTTGCTCTTCTACAGAACTGAGGTGGTTGGAATTAGAAGAATTAAATGATTCTTGAATGAATTTGACTTATTTTAACATTTCTGTTCTTATTTTTGCAAATGTATATGCATTGATAGTTCTCTCAATCTGCTTCCAACAGAAAAAAATTGGGCTTATAGTACGGAAAGGAGTGTTAAGAAGTTGAGAGTAATTGAATTATGTGAAAGGATTATTGTCTATATAAGAGTCCCAAATACATTCACAAAATATATCTTTCATGTATAAAGCATTGAATCCACTTGGGCCCTCATCTCTGAAATCCTCCTTAGGCTTCTTTGGCCTTGTTTTCTAATTTTTAAAATGAAAATTCTTGGAAATCAGACCAAGCAAAATTTTTAGGTGAACACTTTATTGATTTTCATGTAAACTTTCAAAGTCCTGGAACCCCAGAAGAAACTTGTACCGATTCCATGTTGATAATTAATACAATTGACACCATTGATTCTTTGTGTCCATCAAATTGACATAATTTCCTGGTGTTAGGAAGACATTTCTCCAGATTTTGACCTTGAATGCTCCTGGATGAACCTGCTTTGCCTGCATGGTACTTGAAAATTGTGCTAAATTTTCTCAGGGTTTAGTTTAGAAAATGTCCAAAATTAAAAACAATGTTTTTAAAGTGAATAATTGCTCCCAGCATATTATTTTTTGTTGTCGTCCCTGTCCAATAGTTGAATGTGTTACTGACATACTGTAGAACAATTTGCATCACAATTTTAGCAAAGCGACTTTAGTAGCAAAAATGGCGTATTTGTTAAAACATGATTTTACTGTACTGTAGTTCAACACCTTACCAACTCACGTGGAGGCCCAGAAGATCACTAATTTTTTTCTTGAAATTGGAACTTTTTTTTTCAACATGAAGGATCAAATTTATTTCCAACACAAAGAAGCCAATTTACCCCAGCAAACATTTGTGTGTGTCCCATGGTTAAGTTCAACTCATGCTGGAGGTAAAAATGTGTATGAATATTGTAGTTTCCATCTTTTGTCCAGGTTTTTGAATTTTCAATTAAATTAGACCTATAATCAATTTCATAGTATTTTTTTCAGAAAATATGATATACGCATATTACACTCCTCAAGTTCAAGTCATGGAGGTCCAAATGTTCATGCATAAAATATCAGTTTCCATTTCTGTTTAATTATAGCAATGATTGAATTGTCAATCCAGCTTAATTAATGTTATTTTGTTTATTCTCAGAATATTGCAAAAAGAAAAGACTCATGATTACGTACCCGTGAGGAACCTCGTCGTAAGGGTAGACAATGACCCGGTCGCCCACTTTGACGCTTGGGTTGTCTTCCACTTCCGGTCCCAGGGCATCCACGATCCCGGCAACCTCGAACCCCGGAAACAAAGCCCCTTCCCGGAACCCAAGGATGCAAGATCCGCTGTCGTTGCTGGACGTCCTTCGGACTTGGGAATCCCGACGACGGTAGCAAACACCCGCACAAACGACCTGACGCAAGAAAATGAGAACAAATGAATAAAATATGTATTGATTGTCTTTAGGGGTCTGTAAGAAATGTTCTCGGATTATAAATTGAGAATATAGTATTTGAAAATTGAAAATACAGAAAAAAACAATCGTGGTGCCGAAAAGAACATTTTTTGGCACAAGAATTGAAAATTCAGCTTGCTGATTGACATATTTGTTACAGTTTTCCCCAAACAAAGATCTTTTATGAGTTAAAACACCAAAATCAACCTGAGACTGACCATCAGAACCCTCTTTATATAAAGGCTCGACAAAATTGATATTTATTTATGTCCCAAAAGAATCAAAACCTCAGCATCTTCTTCAAAAGATATTCATTCATGTCCCAAAAGAATAAAAAATTCAGCATTTTCTTATTCAAAATAAAAATACACACACAAATTAATTCATGCAATTTCTTGGAGAATAGATTCAATCAGTGGAAGCTAAGAATGGGAATGCTATTCTGAAAGATAATGTGTTTTTGATTTCAAATTTTTGAGGCTTTTAGACATCATTGAGGAAGGGTTGTTTTAAACTTGTTCTTGGTGAAAGTTGGGATCCTTTGCTGCTTTCTGATTTGGTAAAAAGGGTTAAATCAAAGACAAGGTGCAGCTTTGCTTTGCAAGTTTTGAAGGTGTTTTTTTAGGGCAAGTTCTTTGGTGCTGGGCTCTCTATAAGCTGCAGCACAGCTGGTTTCAGAGCAGATTATCAATCTATGAATGCTGAACAACAGGCAATGAATAGAATTGATCCATCAGATATCCCTGAAAATGGGATTTATTTTCTGGAGACATCAGGATTGCCCATGTTGAGTCCCAAACAGCTCTGTGCAGTTTCAACCTCGAACCCCGGAAACAAAGCCCCTTCCCGGAACCCAAGGATGCAAGATCCGCTGTCGTTGCTGGACGTCCTTCGGACTTGGGAATCCCGACGACGGTAGCAAACACCCGCACAAACGACCTGCCGCAAGAAAATGGGAACAAATGAATAAAATATGTATTGATTGTCTTCAGGTGTCTGTAAGAAATGTTCTGGGAATATAAATTGAGAATATTGTACTTGAAAATTAAAAATACAGAAAAAAACAATTGTAGTGCCGAAAAGAACATTTTTTGGCACAAGAATTAAAAATTCAGCCTGCTGTTTATTGACATATTTGGGTTTTACCCAAACAAGGAGGTTTTATTAGTAAAACACCAAAATCAGCCTGAGACTGACCAGAAGCCTCTTTATATATAAAGACTCCACAAAATTGATACTTTATTTAATTATGTCCCAAAAGAATCTAAAACTCAGCATCTTCTGCAAAAGAAATACACTCACCCAACTTCTTGGAGAATTAATTCAAGCAGTGGAAGCTGAGATTGGGAATGCTATTCTGAAAGATAATGTGTTCTTCATTTCAATTTTTTTAGGCTTTTAGACATAATTGTGGATGAGTTGTTTTAAACTTATTCTTGGTGAAAGTTGGGATTCTTGTCTATTTCCTGATTGGGTATATAAAGGGTAAAATAAAAAACAATGTGCAGCATTGTTGTGCAAATTTTGAAGGATTTTTGGGGGCAAGTTCTTTAGTGCTGGGCTCTCTATAAGCTGCAGCACAGCTGGTTTCAGGGCAGATTATTATATTTCATTCTCGCCATGAGCCTAAGTCCCCAACAATATTAAAAAAATTTTTTTTAAACATGAATCATGGCAGCTCATTTCTGCTCTTCAGCACTCAAAACCTCAGGCACCAATCTTGGAGATTTTTTGGTAAGCCCCAAATTATTCCTTCGGACTTCTTGGCATTAATTGAAGATATTTTCATTAATTCCATGAAGGTTTCCCACCATTATTTAATGAATAAATCCCCCATTTTCATCAACAGCCCTCATCAAAGCCACCGTTTGGAATGTAAATGTGGTACCTGTTAAAAAAGATGGCGGCACATTACCTTGGACCTGGAGGCAATAACCATTTGAATTAATGTCAGGTCTATTGCAGGAGTCTGCAAGATGAGTGCTTCATATTTTGAGTGAAGTGCAGAAACCTGCTCAAGGGATGAGACTTCTTTTAAAAAAGAAAAAGAAAAAAACTGTCAAAGAGGGCTGAATTTTTCTTCTTGTGCCAAAGAAGGTCTTTTCTGAGTACTGATCTGATTTTTCAAGTCAATTTTACACATTTCCAATAATGACTGAGTTTGAGAACTTTCATTTCGACCCCAGGTATATATGCCATGTCTGCTAATACTGATGAGACGGCATTTCTTATCCATGCCTGATGCCTGCTGCATGCGTCTTGGCGTCATTCATAGCAAAATTATCAGTACACCAAGGTTTTCCAAAGAAAAAGGTAGGAGTTAATGCATTTTTATTTGTTTATTACGTATGTATGTTATCAATTCATTAGCTATTTTTTATTATTTTGTTATAGGTATTTCTTGCGAATTCAGGCGACGACGACAAAGATGACGAGTCAGTGTTTTCGAACTTGCGGAATGTGAAGGGTTTGGTGGGGACTCTGAAGGAATACGTTCAGGTGAACCACTTACAATGGCCTGTGGATGATGGATGTCATCCAAGAATTCGGCTACATAGTTTATGAATATCTGTAGGCTCTTCAAATTTTATGCATGAATTACACTGTTGAACCCCAAGCAGTGCTGGAATTTGAAGCAAAGCAAAAACAAATGTTGACTTATTGTTGAGGTTTCAAGTTGAGCAATTTGGATATGATCCTTCATTGGAAATATAAAAAGTGGAAGCTTTTGTGGGAACATTGGTGATTCATTATCCATGATGGCACTTGACATAAAACCAACTCAAATGCATATATACAAAGTCTTGAGAAACAGCTGTGATCTATTATTATTTATCAAATGTTTATATAAATACATCGGTTTGTCCATCACCAGAGCACCTTCTCTTCTTATGTCCAGCATTTCATATGGATAGAAATCAGCTTAAGAAAGATTTAAAATTACTGTAATTCAATGAAGAGACACTTTCTGAAATCTTAAAGGATTGAGATACATTTTTGGCCTTATATGATTTCTCATCAAAGATTCTCTCTAAATTGTTCATTCAACTAAACCTCATACAGAAGCAGGCTGCTGAAGACCTTGTGCTTCAAATGAACTTCTACTGCTACTTTGTCTTCAATATCAGGGGATGGGTGGGTGTATGAATACATGTTGGATGTCCAGTTTTATTTTGTGGAGTGTGTTCTCTTTTGTTTTTGTCATTGGTTTGTGCTTTGTTTTATGCTTTGAAGTGATTGAATGTCTTTGGGGGGTGTTGGGTTGGGTGGGGAATGGGGGTTTGGATGCAGGAGTCTTAGCTGTGCCTTTTGAATGCTGAAAAGCAGCAAATAAAGTGTTCTGTTCATTCATTCATTCAAATGCCGAAAAACCTAATATATTGTGCCCTGATACTTATTTTGAAATGAAAAATAGTATGACAAAATTACATTTGAGGTTAAAATTATTCATTATTGCGTTTTCTCTCCTAAAACATCCTGACTGGCCTAAAATTCCTAAAACAAGGGGTTTCTCCCCCCTACCAAAATGGAAACCCTGAACTGGACCTCTGTCTCTTACAATAATGTCTATTCAGTAACACACATGCTCATAGTGCCACAAAATGTGCCAGGACAGAAGGTGGCACTAAATTGAGGTTTGACTGATTTTGGTTTCCAGCTGTACCAGCAGGAAAAAAATGATAGAGTACATATGATTTTCAACAGGTAAATGCAAAAAGTCACTGACCTTGACTCTGGCACCAGCGGGATCAACCTCAGGAATCGGAACATCAACAGTGATGACGCTTTCCTCCAGTGATTTTCTATTCAATTGGGAAGGACTCTCAATGCTGACTTGCTTGCACAGATGTCGCTTGGGAGCCTCCTCAGAGAAAGAGACTGACTTGCCTGACCCAACTCTGATCCTAATCCAGATGAAAGCAGAAGAAGGCGGATAATCAGCATTGTGTTGGACATCCTACAAAGAGCATTTTGAATATCAGATATGCTTCAATTCAAACTTTTCTAGAAAAATAAAACAGAGTACTGGAGATGTTTCTTTTCTACCATCCCCTGAAAGTAATTTTTTCATTCACAGACATGAACATTTATCAACTTGACTATATAGGTGAACTGTAAATTGTTAAAATCTGTGGAAAACTAAGCCTAATTTTTCATATTCAGCAGCAATAAGAGAGCAGACAAGTAGACTATTCAATAAATGATTGATTTAGACTCAAACAGAATCAGAACAATTTAAACTGAATCAGAAAAAGTAATTTTGAAAAACAAAAATATCCATTATGATGTTATAATCCTATTTTGGGTCCTGTCTGCAATATTTCGTAGAAGGGCTGGATAAAAATTATACTGGAAAAATCTTGCACTATTTTGTTGCGGTAAAAGTAGTTAAAATAAAGCTGTAGGTCAGCTCAGTCAAATTCTTTTAGAAGTTCAGTTATTGCGATTCAGAAAGTTGGATGATGCAACCTTAAGCATGCACCATCAAAGTCTATAAGTGAGACTCTGACATGCGGAAACCTCAACATGAAGACAATTCAACATAGGGACATTAATTTTTTCAATAAAAGTAATAAAAGCAGCCAAAGATGCAGACACTGACTTGACATGTGGATATTCCATGAACAAATTACCAATGAGTTTCAGGAAAAGTGAATTTCATCAGACTGAATTGCAAGAAACAGATATTCAAAAACCTATGATGCATGCAAGAAAAACTTTTGTCATTTCTCCCATCCATTCAGCCTAATTGAAAAAATACCTCCAGCATAATAGGGGGACTTCCTTCTCTCTTTGTGACATGAATGCTATTTTTACAGATGACAACATTTTGATGTACAGTACTGCACGGACATACAAAAATAATGCTCCAAATGTTCATATTGAGTTGAAAGATATTAACTGAATCAATTTCAGTGGGCAAACACTTTCTGTGAAGGAATTCTGATGAAAGTTTCTTTCATATGGCACCAATTAAAAATAATATAATATAAGTCTATATGCTGGGGAAAAGAGATACACTCAACTTATAGGAACATTTTCATTTAGAAACACTCTTCAATCTTGACGCACCAACTATATCTTCATCTCTGGGATCTCACTGTATATGCAGAAAATTAATGGCCATCATAAGATATTGTTCTCTTGGAAAATATTTGTTGTCTAGTTTTCTGAACAGACCTTTTTGAAAAAATGGCTTAAAAAGAGAATGTCAAAATAATAACTACTCTATATCATGCTAACTTTTGCAATGAAGAATGCACCACAATACTGTACTGTATAATCCAAAACATGTTTGAAAAATGCTGATAAGTTAAGTCCAATACATCATTGTTTTTTAAAATTCTCTCAAAAATTGAGTGACCTTTTTTCACTTTTCAGTTTTCTTAATAGTGCAACATCTGTTAAATTTTGCATACTTCTTGCACATTATGTTTAGAAAATCTGCTTGAATTCATAGAATAATTGGTCCTTCTTTGTTATCAACACATTCACACTTTCTCAAAACTCTAACCACAGCTACAGAAATGAGTAGTCCATGTTATTATATCTCCAAATAAGAAAATATCTGCCTAAAAATTATCATCAATTCCATGGTAAAACTTCATGGAAAGGCTAAGAATAACATCTTTAGAGTAGAAATGGACAAGAAACAAGTTCCATATTTGTGTGAAACATTATACTCACATTCTTCCGCCTTCAGGAGCAATTGACCCAGCTTGCATCTTGAAATTTTGAAGAAGTTCTCCCGCAATAACAAGTCAATTCAATTTTTTTGCAATAACAAAAATCAACAAAGGTTCAAAAATAAAACCACACACAGCTTAACAACTCCCCTGCCTATATAAAGATGAAAGCAGACTTCAATATTAAAAAAAAACTTCTCAAGAAAAAAAAAAACACTTATTCCTAACTGAATGCATGGAAAGCGGGATCGAACAAACTGCTGCTTTTTACGCCGCATCTTTGCCCTTGGATGAAATGCTGGCAAGAGCAGCAGCACCAGCACCATCAGCAGCTCACTTGCACAGCGTCTGCGCCGTAAATATATGCCCCCGCGTTTCATCCCTTATTCACGTGTATCCCCCACACGTAGAAAAAATAAACCCCCAGTTTGGCAATCATGCCGTTCTCGAAAAAAAAACATACACCTTAATTCGCACTCATAGACAGAAAAATTCACGCGAATTTACCTCAATTAAAAAACAATTCACCAGGAGCTATTATAGAAGAACAAAGACTATTTTCAAAAATCGGCTTCTATTTTTCTCCAGCAGAGATCTCAGCATCAGCATAGACAATCAAGAGAGTGATAGATGTACACAGTGAGACCCCCACATGCAGACGCCTCAACCTGCAGACAATTCGACTTAGGGACACTTATTTTCCCAGAAAAAATCAATAAATAAGGCCCAACATGAGGACACTGACTCAACATAGGGACATTTTGTGATAAAATGGCAAATACATTTCAGGCCAAATTAAAAGAAACAGATATTTCCAACCCTAAAATTTATGGAAGAAAAGTTCTTGGGCATTTCTCTCAGCAAATTACCATCCATTTAGCTAGTTAAAAAAAATTACCTCCAGCATAGAGGGACTTCAATTTTTTTTCTCACTTGAATGTTATATTTGTAAATGCCAAATTTCAGTGTAGAGTACAGAGATACACTGTTCAATGCTCCAAATGTTCTAATTGAGTTGAAAATGTATTCACCAATTCAAATTGAAAAGACAAACAATTTTTTTCAGGGAATTCTGAAGATTATATCTTCCACAAAACACAAATTAAAAATTATATCATGTAAGTCTATGGGAAAACAAGACTCAATTTAGGGAAATTTCAACTTGGGGACACTCTTGATGCACCACTTACATCCGCATCTTGGGGTCTCACTGATGTATATATTCTGCTGCTGCTGGGATGCCAAGACACACGCAGACTGTGTGATAAGGAAGGAGAGAACTGCAGCAGCACCAAGGTTTTGGGAATGTTCACATCCGGCAATCCTCTGCTGGTGCTGCCCCCCCCCCCTCAACCTATAGGCATGCTACTGGCAGAAGGGGAGGGATCCCCGAGGATCACGCTGATGCCACGTGATCTCCGCATGGGCACGAAATCTGGGGCACAGCGCCACATATACGCATTTCATATGTACTAGGATGTATGTATGTATGTATCAATGGGACCCCGACTTATGGACGCTTCGTATTTGGAAGATTCTACTTTGGGACTCTTGAAACTAAAAGAAAAATTTTTTCGACATCTGGACAATGTCTCAAATCTCGAAATATGGACACTTGTTTTCAAAACATTTCTGCATTAAAACAATATTGGAAAATAACATTTTCTGACGTTTTAAATATGTCTTTCTCGAATTGAGGTACTGTATTTACAATATTTTCACAGCAATGGAGAACAATCTTTATGCATAATTAATTTTCTTCACAATAAAAAAAAACAGTTGCATTTTGGGCTTTCTTTTCAGAGTTTTTTTTTTAAATCATGTGTCAGTATACTGTACTTGGGTCTTGGACAAATCAAGACAGAAAATTTGAGGCAGGGCCAATTTGGGGCAAGGTCAATCCAAGGCAGGGCCAAATTGGGATATATAATTTTGGAGACGGAAAATTTAAGACTAAAACTTGTTGAGACATGGACAAATTGGAAAAAAACATTGGGAGTTTGAGACATTTTGAGACTGACACATATTGAAGAAAAATGACTTGACTCTGTTTGAGTCTATTATGTTATGTTTAAGGCGTGTTATGTTTAATGAACAAAAATTGCACTGCTTGTTGAAAACTCCATTTTATCCGTTTTGAGGGGAAAGCTGGGCAACAGAATAAAGTCTGCAAGAAGAGCACCTAATCTTTTGAGTGAAGAGCAGAACTCTGCCAGAGTTATTTTTGCAGTTTTGCAAAACATTTGAACAAATGTCTCAAACAGGGCTGATTTTTTTTGTGCCAAAGAATATTTTTTCCTGAAGGATAATTGTTTTTCAGCTCTATAATGTGTCATTTCAATTTATATTCCAAGAACTTTTGCAAGACTCCTTGTTCATGGTGAATGTGGCGCTGCGATGGTAATGCTGGTGGTGTTGGCATTGGAAAAGAGGTGCAGATGTGCAGTTGCTTTCATATACCATGGGGACTCAAGATGTGGACATGATTGGTGCTTACATGTTGCCCCTATGTAAAAGCAACAGTATTCTGGCTCACATTTTCCCATAGACTTTAATGAGAACATTTTTAATTGTTTTTCTCATGTTCATAAAAAAGTAGGACTATACAGTCCCCAAAAAGTTTGACAAAGTTTTTTCTCAAATCCAAGATACAGATATAATGACTTTGCATAAAAAACCCAAGCATAATCTGATCTTTTGGCATTAGAGGGACATCAGTAAGAAGAAAAGAAAGTGAACAAGTATAGATATACAGAATCCACACACATACTGGAAAAAGCTTTGAAAAATTAAGCAGAAAATCAGCCCGCTTTCAACTAAGAATTATCGTGATTTTATAGTTATTTTTTGTGAGTATAAATATCTCATTCAAATATTTCGAAAAGTACCCTGGGGTCCCTACATGTGGAGTAATTGGTGCTTGGATCTTGACCCTATGTCAGAATGTCCACATGTTGTATCTCATTTTTCCGCAGACTTCAATGGGAACTTATTTTCTTGCTTCACTTGTTCATGAAGAACTTAGGAATCCAGTCCCCAAACAAGTGAATACAATTCTTTCTCAACTTTGCTACATAAAAAAAATGCACAGAAGAAAACCACACAGAATCTGATCTTATGACATCAGAAGGAGCTCATGAAATAAACAACAAGAGGAAGTCTTGATACACTGTGCACACTTGATGGAAAACAACTCTGAAAAAAGCATAAAATTAGCTAGTTTTTGATAATGAAAAAGGGTACTTTTAGACTTGAATTTATTTTTACTTTTGAGAATGTACAGTACATTGCTCAATTTCTTCAAAAAGGATGACAGTTTGAAAAAATTAATTTTTCCATTTTACGGAAAATGTAACAGTGCTTTTTCAGAAATGGAAAAATGTCCATGTCTCAAGTCACTGCTGTCCAGATAGCAGGGGCAGATTTTTTTTATAGTTTCAGGTGTCCCCAAGTTGAATATTCCATCTGTTGGGGCAGCCGCATGTTGGGGTAGCACCACTGTACGTCTATATAGGTATACTGGGATCATATAGACAATTTGAGAGACGCAGTTCAACCCTGGACAGAAGGATACAGAAAATTTGAGACAGGGCCAATTTTGAGGCAGGAATGATTAGAGTAAGGGGCAATTACAGACAGGGACAAAATGAGACAAAACAATTTTCACAAGGAGAGGAATCTGCTTAGTTTGGTTCAAACAGTTGAGGTTTTCGTTGAAGAGGAAAACTCAG